TGTTTGAATGTTAATCTCATCCCAAAACATCTCCACAGACACACACAGAATGATGTTTGACCAAATGTCTGGCACCCCAAAGCTTAGTCAAGTTAACTATGTTTGTCTATTTGTGTGTTGTGCTTCAAACAGTCTCTGACTATAGGCTCAGTGACGCTCATAAAAGGTATAGATACCTGTAAGCAAGCTTTTTTTTTTTTTTTTTTTTTCTTGCGTTATGCGGGCCTCTCACTGTTGTGGCCTCTCCCATTTGCGGAGCACAGGCTCCGGACGTGCAGGCTCAGTGGCCATGGCCCACGGGCCCAGCCGCTCCGCGGCATGTGGGATCTTCCCGAAACGGGGCACACGAACCCGCGTCTCCTGCATCGGCAGGCAGACTCTCAAGCACTGCGCCACCAGGGAAGCCCGTAAGCAAGCTTTTTTACTTGGCCTATTGTTACTCTCTGGGACTGGATAGTAATTGATGGGCATCTTGGATGATATAAAACTAATCTGATTAAAATTAAGATAAGTCAATTATGAACCATGTAAAACTAACCTAAAACTCAGTTTTACAAATACTGTGTACCTCACTAGCTTAAGAACTCCTTGAAAACACAGGAACTATCTTAAATTACCTTTTATTCCCTCAGCCTTATATAGTGTCAGAAAGCCTTATAATGTCTCAAAGGTTCAGTCTCTTCATCTGTAGAATGGGGATTAAATGATTAAATGAGATAATGCAGATAAAATGATAAATATAGTATCTAGCATGTAGTTGGTTCTTATTCAGTGTTAGCTTTTATCATCATCATCATCATCATCACCGTTTCTACATAAATCAATCATGGTGCAACCATGTAATGAAATGTACCCTTTTAATGTATCCACAACATCTTTCCTTTCCCTCTTCTTCCTTACAAACAGAACTCTAATTTTGTTGAGAATAAGAGTGGTTAGCCTCCCTTGATGATAGGGTTGGCTACAAGACTCAGTTCTGGCTAATTAAGTATAAGTGGGTATTGTTGTCTCCAACTTAATAAGTTCCTTGAGTGTGGGGGGTGGGTGGTGATTCAGCTAGCATATGCCTTTTGAACTTTGTCCTACTCTTTCTTTTTTTTTTTTGGACTGTAGACATGATGCCTGCAGCTCCAGCAGCCATCTTGTGACCATGAGGCAATTTGAGTCTAGAAGCCAGCACTAGGGATAACAGAGAAGAAAGAATGAAGGAGGAGCCTGGATATCCTGAAGCTGCCATACCAGTCCTGGACTCCCTATTCCTGACTTCTCATTATACAAAAAATAAATAAATAAGTGAAACTCTAATTTGTTTTGACCACTCTGTATACCTGTTTCCTCATCTATAAAATGGAAAGAATAATAGTAACCTAGCTCATAGGTTTGGAGTGAGGATTAAATGGGTTAATATATGTGACTTAAAATAACTGAAAACTATGAGCAGAATGACCTCTGAAAGTTGTAACATTCTGCTACTTCTTGAGCCATTTCCCTTGCTCTTTTGTGAGAAAAATGCCTGGCATTTAAGTGCTCAGTAATAAGTGTAAGCTAACATGATCAACATTATTATTATTTCAAGTTTTTGTTACAGGCAATTGAACCCAATTCATAACTGATACAGCAGTGACTAAAAACTATACCTATTGGGCTTCCCTGGTGGTGCAGTGGTTGAGAGTCCGCCTGCCGATGCAGGGGACACGGGTTCGTGCCCCGGTCTGCGAAGATCCCACATGCCGCGGAGCGGCTGGGCCCGTGAGCCATGGCCGCTGAGCCTGTGTGTCCGGAGCCTGTGTTCCGCAAATGGAGAGGCCACAACAGTGAGAGGCCCGCATACCGCAACAAACAAACAAACAAACAAAAACTATACCTATTAAAACTATCTAATGGCCAGGCAAGATAATTCTTTTTTTTTTTAATTTATTATTTATTTTATTTAGTTAGTTTTGGCTGCATTGGGTCTTCGTTGCTGCACGCAGGCTTTCTCTAGTTGCGGTGAGCAGGGGCTACTCTTCCTTGCAGTGCGCGGGCTTCCCCTTGCAGTGGCTTCTCGTTGCCAAGCAGGGGCTCTAGGCACGCAGGCTCAGTAGTTGTGCCATGTGGGCTGTAGAGTGCAGGCTCAGTAGTTGTGGCACACGGGCTTAGTTGCTCCACGGCATGTGGGATCTTCCCAGACCAGGGCTCGAACCTGTGTCCCCTGCATTGGCAGGCAGATTTTTAACTACTGTGCCACCAGGGAAGCCCCAGAAGATAATTCTTTATAAAATGTTTAGTGAGGAAGAAAATACATTATAAAACTGTATATATAGTATGACCCCAATTTAAACAATTATAGAAATGCTCAGAAATTCGGAAAAGTCTTAGAATTAGTTCTGAGTGGTATGATCACAGGTAATGTTTGTTGTCTTTATAGTTCATTTCCAAAATGTTAACAATAAACACAGGACATTTATAACTGGGAAAAATGTTATTTTAAGACATTAAAAAGTAGGCTAAGATATAACAAGTGATTTTTACCTTAAGCATATTCAAGGTAGCAATCCACATGCTAGAATAGATCATCTAAGGAATAAGATAAACAAGTATGTGCAGTAGTGGTGAATTCACCCACAGAGCAGAACTAGTGGGAGCCTGAGGTTAAAAGAAGAGTCCGTACATAGGTAAATTGATAATGTGTTTATGTATGTGCCCCAAAGTTTCTGACCCACAAGTAAGGAATGTCTAAAAGGGAACACTGAGTCCTCAGTCTGGGGAACTTGGCTTGCTGCCTACTCATTAGAGTGAGAAGGCATCTAGGAAACACCAGGCATGTCTTATTAAATGCATTTAAAGAGCATGCTTCTAATTGTTTGTTCATGGAGACAGAGGCAGTGCGGAGCACCATCCATGGCAATTGTCTGAATCAGTTTTAGCAATAAAATTAAGCTTGATGTACTGACTCAAGGTTTTGGTTTTGTCTATGGAGACAGGCTTATACTTCCATGGCTTTAACACACAGAATTTGTCCCTGAGAGTCTCCCTCTAGCTAGCAGCACAGCCCTCTCAGGTGTGATGTTTGTACTATCGTCCACAAATCAGCAAAGAGCTGTTTTAGGATCAAGGAAATTCATAGGTATATATTTTACACTTGGGTCTTGTGCAATTCTGAGAACAGTACGCAAGGAAAGTGGTTTTCTGACATAAATCCCAATAAAACATAATTTCTTCAAGAAGAGGTGCAGTGCCAACAGACCGTTTTCAGAGATTAACAATTTGGCTTTCAAAAAAATTACCAACCTTGGTATTGTGCTCGGAATGAAATATGGTGCTCTTAACCACACATGGCAGAACTTTTGTGAAGAAGTGTTTTACTTCCAAAATTCCTTGGTGTATCTCCCTCCCCACCTGCCTCACGTGCTCCCACTACCACCTGCAGCAGATTTAGAGTTTGGTAAACTGCCCAGCTCAAGCCCCAGCTGAGCGGTGCTTACTTTCTCTACTTTTCCCAGTGTCATCATTTTCAAGACTGGGATATTAAAGCACAAAAGATAAAGGGGCACTTGGTATGTGAGGCAGAAAGTGATTCCAGTGAGTAAATATTTGTACCTCACTTGCTCTTATTATTTCTCAAGGCATTATGAGTAATAATAATAATTGCTAACATTCTGGGCAGGCTTCAATGGCCGTGCCACTTGTGTAGTTGCACGGGACCCCACTCTCGGAACAACCCTGCACTTGGCTTAGTGCTCTACTATTGTCATCTTAATTTTTGAACGTTTTCATTTTGCACTGAGCCCCACAAATTATGTAGCCAGTCCGATTAACATTTATAGGGCACTCGCTATGCATCAGACTCTGCTCTAAACATTTATCCATATTAAAGTTGGGTGGAGTACCACCAAACTGTATTCATTTCCTCATTACTGAGGGTAATTTACAGGAGTCTGTTTTCTAGCCACTAAAAAGTGCTTAAATTAATTTGGGAGGGGGGAGTAAGGAAACACTTGTTCAGCAACTCTTTGTTTTAAAAAAAAAGTTTTTTTTTTTAAAACTGTCACATTACTGTCTCTTTCATATTACAGATCTGCAATTACTTGTTGACCAGCTTGTTTCCTACGGAAACATAAGCTCCATGTTTTTCACCACTGAATTTACAGCGTCTAACGTAATGTCTGACACGTAATAGGTAATCAGTAAATGTTTTAATAAACCAAGGGTCCAAAGCATCTTGGAAAATATAAACGTAGAAATACAATGTCTCTCCTAAAGAGCACAACAGATTATCAAATCACTTAATTGCTATGGATGCGGATTGATGCAAAAATAATGTTTTGTCGTTTTGTAAAATAAAAGTTCATTTAAACAGTTCTTGAGTCCCTGCTATCTTCTTGGCAATGTGCTACATGCCAGAAGCATTCTAATAGATGGAGAAACACTGCAATACATGAACAATGCACACTCAGGAAGACTAAGATTTGAGGTTTGCGTCCCATTTTGGTAGGGAACAGCCTTTAATGGGGAGAAAACCCCGTGGATGGGTGAAGGAAACAACCAAGAAGGGTGTACGCGAGGGGCGACCTGGGCAAAGGCGCTCAGGGGGAGTGAGTCCACCGCGTGCAGAAAGCACTGGGGAGGCAGGCCTATCTGTGCAAGGACACACACATCCTTCCCTTTCACACTAACACGAGAGGCCGTAAATTCTTCTCTTGCCGATGTGAGATCTGATAAAAGCCAGGTTATAACATGGACCAGACAGGGGAAAGCCTGTCCCTCCGAATTATAATATTTAAAACTCAGTATAGTTTGTAAAAACTGTATAGTGTGGTGTACAGGTTAAAACATCTGCTTCCTGACTTGCGGGGGGGCGGCCCGTTGGGGAGAACGCGGTACACGGGAGAAAAGGGCGGCAAAATAAAGCACTTAAAAAAGAAAGAGCGGGCTAGCGGGAGAAGGGGCGGCAGCTCAAGAAGCCAATGAATGAGATCCAGGCTGCAGCACGTACTCCCGCCGCCCGCATGCGCAGGCGCACGCCGCGTGATCTCGCGGGAAAGAACCGTTGCAGGTCCCGGCGTTGCACTCAGGTAGGAGGTGGGGGGAGGTGGGGGGAGGCGGGAGTGAACTCTCGCGAGAAGAGGCGGTTGCCGTAGCGGAGCTCTCTGGCTGTGTGTCTCGAGGATCTGGCGCCGGAGCTGCGGACGGTTTGCTGAGCCCGTTAGTGTCCCTGCTGAGACCCACGCCGCCGTCATGTCCCGGTACCTGCGTCCCCCGAACACGTCTCTCTTCGTAAGGAACGTGGCGGACGATACCAGGTATGTACAGTGGAGGCACTCCGGGCCCAAGAGGGGAGGCCGCGGTCGCTCTGAGAGGACCGGTGTGGCGGCGGCGGCGCGCTGGGCCTGCGCCGGGGGAGGGGAAGGGGTGAAGATGGCGGGTCCCGCGCTGGCTTTCTGGCCCGAACTAGGCCGCGCAGCCGGCATAACCGCCGCGTGGGAGCGAGGGCGGCGCCGCTGGTCCTCCCGGGCAGCCGCGGGAGAGCGGGCCGCGTGGCGGCGTTTCGGTCCCCTCCCCCTCCGCAGATGGGGGCCCCTTCCTTCCCGCTTCCTCTCCGGGCGTTCAACCTCTGCCTCCACCGAACATCAGCTCCCCCCATTGATTTGAAGTTCACGTTCTTTGGGGTGCACGCCCCCTTGGCCCAGAATTCTTTTTTTTCTAGTTAAAAAAAAAAAACTGCTCTGCAGTAAAATAACGGATCGGGGGAGGGGAATGTGGCGAAGCATTTGCTACCCTTTTGGTGGTTGTTGTGTTTTATTTGCGATTTTTTTTTTTTTTTTGGTGTTGTAGATGTTTGGGTAAAGGGAATGTTGAGCTTAAAGATATAAAATTCTTCCACTTAAGTGGTACGATCTAGTTTTTCCCATTTCCGGGAAATACTGGCCACCCTTTGAAAACGGAGGTTTGGGAAGCCTCTACCATTAGAACGTTGATAGCTAAATTGGATTAACCTGGACCGTCCCTTTGTTCTCGCCAATTCCCTTAATTGCTTGGAGTTGTCGTCAGACTTTTTTGGGCGAGATCTTACCACAAGATGAGAATTAGTGTTTAACAAATAATCACTCTACACACACAGAAATTAAAAAAAATTTAGGTAGCCTCGTATGATTTATATTTTTGTGTCTACCTTTAAGTAGGGCAAGTAAGCAATAGTAATTACTCTAGCGTCTAGGAAACTTTCCCCTTTATGTCATATTGACATTTATTGAGGAATTATATATATTTGTGACTTTAATTTTTCAAACCGTATCTACCATTAAGTGTGTAACCCTGTCGCTAAAATTTGGAGGTAAAATAAGTGCTTTGTATTTTTCAGAATACTAGAGTTGCGTTGATACTGTTTAAAAAAAATAGCAATAGTTAAGTACAACTTAATGCTACTATACTATTTATGAAAAATGAAGGCTGTGGATAAAAGCAATAGAGATAAGTTGTAGTCAGGTTTCCTTAAATGTCTGTTTTCCTGTTGTTAATGTAAAATAGTGATAGGTTTTATTATAAACTGCGTTATTATCTTTCAGAATCTTGCATTCTGGCTTTTCTTTTTCAAAAAGACGTTGTATATTCTTACTGTTGGCTCTTGATGTTGAGATTTAGAAAGCTTGTTTCAGGTCACCCAGGAACGTAGCAGTCTCTTTCATTAATTGAGATATTACAGAAAGAAACCTATTTCTTACAAAGAAACTTTTAAAGGAGTGGACTTAAAAATTTGGCATCTTTTTATGATGTTTTAGGTCTGAAGATTTACGACGCGAATTCGGTCGTTATGGTCCTATAGTTGATGTGTATGTTCCACTTGATTTCTACACTCGCCGTCCAAGAGGATTTGCATATGTTCAATATCCTTTCTTCAGATGGCTGATTAGTGAGGGGTGTTGAAGTTTGAAATTCAAGTTTTTGTAAGAGGTAACATCTAAAAAGTAGTTGTTGTTTTTTTTTGTCTTCTAATAAATGTTTTGTCTTCAATTTTTTCTAAGTTAATTCTGACTCGCACATTGCTCTTACTATTTCTTAAAGTTGATCCAAAAACAGTAAAATATTTAAATTCCCATTCATGCTGCTGAAACTCAAATCAATGATTATAATATGTGATTTAAATCTGAATACACTCTGGTTGCTACCACCTTTAATGTAACTCAAAAGTTAATATGTTCTTGTGCTTAGCAATTAAAGTTTGGTATTCTTGTTTGTTAACTTGAATCACTTGATCAAAAACAATTTGTATAACAATGAGGTAAACTTCTTTAATATTGTCCCCTAATTTGCTGTCCTCTGTTGTTACCTCAGAGAATGTAAAGCTGTACAGTTATGGCGACCCCAAAGAGAAAGCATGAAAGAACCTTTAGAGTAGAGTTCAACACTTAAGGCAAGTAGACAAGCCAAAGACCTCTTAAGGATCAGGCTTGAAGAGAAGGGAGAGTTTGGGAAAAGAAAATATAAAGAAAAGCTGGAAGAAGGACAAGCCTAATGGGAGACAAAGCCTCGCTTTATCTACAAAAGGGGGAAAAGGTTGTTTTTCAAAGTTAAAGATAAAGCCATCTGTCATATTTGGCCAAGCATCTCATGACAAGTCCTTCTGACAAGCACTTAAAGAGTTAAAGGTCAAGATGAAGTTGAATGATGGCCAAGATTAAAGGAGTCATACCTGATGTATCCTACAGAATAACTATTTTCCTTTTTTTTTCTCCTCATGTTTTGTAAGCAGTTAATTTTCAAAATTATTCTGGTTTGGTCTAGTGACAAAACCTGTAACTTGATTTACGTGGGCCTTTGATGTTGTGATGTGGTCTTGTATAAATGCACTCTCTCTTAGCTTGTGAAGTTAAAGTGTACCAGGATGTAATGTTGTTAAGCTTAAACTCAGCATATTTCTGTTTTGGACCAAGTGGTCCGGTGCCATAGCATAGCAGGCAGTGCTCTTTGGAGTAGCATGAAGTTCTGGAGTCAAGCCGACTCCATAGAGCCAGGCTTAGAGGGCACACAGGTGCATGCACTGGGGACTACTTAGAAACAGCTCTGGTGGTTTTCTAAGGTCAGATCCACTAGAGATACTGTCTGTTTATAGATTTTTTTAAAAGGGCTGCTAGGGCCACGCACATACTCCTAACATCTGAAACTTAGCTCTGTGAAACCTGCCGGCCCTGACTGCTTTTAGCACATGTGATCACTTGGCCCAGAATGGGTTGCAGAAGGCCTTATCTTTGGTATGGGTACGTAATCAGGATCTATGGGAAATTGTTCCTTGGCCCAGAGTTTCAGGTGACATTACTTCCTTCAGTGAGATCATCTCCTTGTGGCAACAAAGGTTTGGGCTGTGGACTTCAGGCTAGGAAAAATTCTTATTGCTTAAATTCAGTGGATCTCTTGAAACTTAGCAGAGTTCTAATGAGACTTAGGCGAAATGCCAAATGCTGCTACTCCTGCAGGCCCAGTGATCAAGGACAGTTGTGGGAATTGGTTGCAAAGCTCTGTTACAGAGAGGATAAGAGGTATATCTGGCTTGGTTAAAAAAAAAAAAAAGTAACGGTACATTCTGGCTTACAATGTTGGCTTGATTTTACCTGGTTTGGGGGTGGCCTGGGAACCAGGATCAGCAGTTTGAAGAGTATGTGATACTTGAGCCAGGAAAGAGTTAACCATAGGAGTCTCAAGGTGAATTATAGCTATTTTTATACACAAAGTCTGTCTGGTCTTCAAGTAGTTAAAAAGAAATAGGTATCAGAAGTTTGCAAAGACCCTGAGTACAGATTTCTCCGTAACTGGCCTCAGAATGATATTTGATTGTCCCTGCTGTGGTCCTCTTTTCTATCTGACCCCATTCCCAGCTAGCTTTCTCTTAACATCTCTGGTAGAACCTTGCCATGGTTCATCCAACCCAGGATTCTGTTTTTGAGGGTAGCCCCAGAGGATGATAGGCTCTCGTTAATAATTTTTATACTTCTTGGTCTGAATCCTTTAAGAAGTTATTCTGTCTCTCGAAGTATCGAAGTAGTATACCCTTTAAATGAGCTTGTTCTTTTCAGTTAATTTTAAAGCCCAACTGCATTAACCTGGAGGGGTGGTTGATTATAGTGTTCAAGGTTCTAAACTCCCCGTCAACCTTTGTCTTTTCATGATGAAAACTTCGTGATTTAGGACTTGAGAAAAGCTCTCATTCACTACACATAATAGCCTCAGAGAGAGAGAACTGGGACCCTGTTGTGGTCTTTAAGTCCTTCCAGAACAAAAAATAGGAAATCTAGTGAGGCAGACCTTTTAGTCTCTGGAGTATAAAAGAATATTAATATCAGTCTTGAAGAGAGTATATCGCTTCAGGGATTTTTTTAATCAACACTCAAGATCTGCACTCTCAAATTTAAGAAATAGAAATGGACAAGTTAGAATAGTGAATTTTAGTACAGAATGAAAATCCACAGCCAAACCTAGCCTAGCTCCCCTTCAGAAGCTTTTATATCAAACACTGCTCTGAATATGTGCTTGGCTTCTGTTAGAATGGTGGTTTTAGGAAAGGAACTAAATTTGGTCAGAATAACTTTGTTTGGGGAGGAACAAGGCAACAGCCTCTCAGATCAAAAATGGGTACCAGCGGTTCCTGCTTTAGACTTATAAATACTATCTTGAAATTTCTCAAATTGAAAACCAGTCCCAAACGCACTTCTCTACGGGAAGCTTTATGTTCAGTGTCATGGTTAGGGCTATCCAGTCCAGGAATCTTTAGAAATGGTCTGTTATTTCTTGGCAGCATGCTTTTATGGTCTGTGCATGGATATAATATGATGTCTTAAGTATTGCTTGACACTCTCTTGATATCTACAAGTGGCTGGTGTACCAGTCTTCCCAGTAAGGTGTAATAAGGAAGACAGCTAAGTGAAATAATAATGTTAGATATGTCTGAGAAAAATAGGAAGATTAATTTGAGGTTGATGCTTTCGTTTCTTGTAAGGTATATTCCGCTTGCTTACACAAGAACTATTGGCATTTTCTTTTTTTCATTTGAAACAAAAATATGAAAAACAGTTTGGGTTTTATTTTAAGAAATTTTTGTTTTAGCATACAAAATAAAATTGACATTTGTTTTTCTTTTTTGTCTTGTTTTGTAAAATTCTTAAAACTCAGGAAAATCTTCTGATGGGATTACTTGGTAGTTCAGCTGTAACAGGCTTATTTCAGTAATAACTTCATAATATGTATTCATAAGTGTTTTCAGACTCATGCCTTACGGAGTCACAAGTGCTTTAATACTCTAAAGTGTTTATAACTGAATCAACCAACCAGTTAGTGGGGTCTGGTTGACTTTCTAGAATAATATCGAGAGATTGTGAATTGTTCCAGACTTACCAACTGAACTTTCATTCATTATCAAAGTTTGCAAAACTTCCCAAGCCCCTTAACATTTAGCACATTTGAGGATGTTCGTGATGCAGAAGATGCTTTACATAATTTGGACAGAAAATGGATTTGTGGACGCCAAATTGAAATACAGTTTGCACAGGGGGATCGAAAGAGTAAGTACCTTTATGCCTATATGTAAAATGCATCATTTCTTTTTTTTTCTGTGTATATATATATATATATATATATATATATATATATACATACATACAGAAACACACATTTATATGTATATATGTGTATATAAATACACAAGTATTCTGTGAATATATATAAAATAGACATATTTGGATTATAATTGCTTTACAAAGGTGTGTTGGTTTCTGCTGTATAACAGAGTGAATCAGCTATGTGTATACATCTATCCCCTCCCTCTTGGGCCTCCCCCTCCACCACCACCCCCATCCTACCCATCTAGGTCATCACAGAGCATTGAGCTGAGCTACCTGTGCTGTACCACAGGTTCCCAGTAGAGATGTGGATGGAAATAGAGTCTGTCATACAGAGTAAAGTAAGAAAGAGAAAAACAAACATATTAACACATATATGTGGAACCTAGAAAAATTATACAGATGAACCTGTTTGCAGGGCAGGAATAGAGTTGCAAATGTAGAGAATGGACGTGTGGACACAAGAGGGGAAAGGGTGGAGGATGGGATGAATGGGAGGTTAGGTTTGACATAAATACAGATTTTTTAAATTTTATTTTTTTAGCCTATTGTATTTTTGGCTGCTTTGGGTCTTTGTTGCTGCACGTGGGCTTTCTCTAGTTGCGGTGAGCAGGGGCTACTCTTTGTTGCGGTGCGTGGGTTTCTCATTGTGGTGGCTTCTCTCTTGCGGAGCACGGGTTCTGGGCACACCGGCTTCAGTAGTTGTGGCACACAGAAATACATCATATTTATACAAATTGTTCTTGGAAGTATTGTGCAATATGTCTCTCTGTTCAAAACCCAGAAAGATAGTTTTTGGGAAGATAGAGTATCTTGAATACTTTGCAGAATTTCAGGGTAGACAAGTGACTTAGAATGCAGCGATCAGAATGCCTGAAATATGTTTGGACTCTTTAAGAAGGTAGATCAGTACTATCAGCTGTGGCATGTTTAATATACTAAGAGTGGAATTGAAAAGAATAAACTTTGGAAAGTTTTGGTTCTCTTGAGCCATTTCCCTTCTGCGTAAAGGTCATCAAGGTGTAATTGGGTAATTATGTAGGTGCCTGGCTCTAGAAATGAACAGATAGACTGGGAAAGACTATATAGATTAAATTTAGAAAAGATTTTCTATTAGTACTTGGTTTTTATTAATATGCAGGCATACACCAGGTGTTGGCTGCATGCTGATGAAGCATAAGTACAGGCTTTGGGGTCAGATACACCTGGGTTTGAATTCTGGCTCAACTGTTATGTTTCCTTAGGCAAGATATTAAAAGATAGAGATTAAAATAGCTGCTGGGAAAAAAAAAAAGCTGCTAAAGAGAGAGGGAGTACTTAGGTAGACACAAGCTGTTGGTGATTCTCTAGTTCTTGGGTTGAATGATAGGTTCCTGGGTAGTCAGTGTTATTTGTACATTCATACCTGCATAAAGTATCTGCTTCATAGGATTGAATGAGATAACGTAAGGATTGAGGACTGTCCGGGGTGTGGGTATGTCTAAGGCATTTGACAAGTGTTAGTTTTCTTCTGCTTTTCTTTGTCATGGTTTCTCAGAACTGTATAACTATATATTATTGCGTTTTGACACTACATATCATTCGTAGGCCACCATTAAGTATTTTGTCGTTAATTTTGTTCCTACTGAATGGAAACCATGGTAGGATCATTCCAAATTAGCATATGGTTCAAAAGTCATTTGTATTTTAATTTGGAATTTTAAAAATACTTTCATGGTATATTTTCTTAATGTCCAAGTAGTTGGCATATTTTTGGACAACAAACTAGATGTGAGAGGTCTTTGAAAAAACAAAATAGTTGGGGAGATATTTGAGGTTATCATTTTTAACATAAAACAGTCTTCTGATAGACTTGCTTGAAAGTAAATACCTTTTCCAAGATTAACATTCACAAGTAGCCACCGATTTGGAAGCATAAAGGAAGGAGATGCAGGCATTTTTCCTATAATTTGGAGGCTTAAATACTACGTTTGTAATGTTTGTAAATATTTCTGTTCTATGTATTTCATAGCTCCAAATCAGATGAAAGCCAAGGAAGGGAGGAATGTGTATAGTTCTTCACGCTATGATGATTATGACAGATATAGACGTTCTAGAAGCCGAAGTTACGAAAGAAGGAGATCAAGAAGTCGTTCCTTTGATTACAACTATAGAAGATCTTATAGCCCTAGAAAGTAAGTGATGTGTACCACAAAAAAGATTTAGTTTGTTGGCCTTTAATTTTTTAAAATCTTCTTGTATACTTTTAATTATGTATATTGTGTGCTTCATTGAGACTAAAAATATTTTTAGTGCTTTATTTTTAAAGTTTTATGGTTCATTTTTAAAATTAGAAACCTGTAAATAGACATGTGTCACTGTTTGCTTTTTCTGATGTACTTTTTAGCAGTAGACCGACTGGAAGACCACGGCGTAGCAGAAGCCATTCCGACAATGATAGGTAAATAACTTTGCTTTGAAAAAGACTATACATTTATCAATTTCAGAGTGAACTTTTGCTCTAAAAATAACAAATTTGATTAATATAGAATCTAATTTTTACTCTAATTGTATCTCTCCTCTGTTTTGAAAGATTCAAACACCGAAATCGATCTTTTTCAAGATCTAAATCCAATTCAAGATCACGGTCCAAGTCCCAGCCCAAGAAAGAAATGAAGGCTAAATCACGTTCTAGGTCTGCATCTCACACCAAAACTAGAGGCACCTCTAAAACAGATTCCAAAACACATTATAAGTCTGGCTCAAGATATGAAAAGGAATCAAGGAAAAAAGAACCACCTAGATCCAAATCTCAGTCAAGATCACAGTCTAGGTCTAGGTCAAAATCTAGATCAAGGTCTTGGACTAGTCCTAAGTCCAGTGGCCACTGATAGTATAAACCATGATATTTTTAGGCATGTATCATTCATTTACTCATAGTTTGGTTTACTTAAATTATCAGGAATACAATGTTGCAATGATGCTTAAAAAAACACTTGTCAGTTTTCCCTGTACCAGGCAATGGTTATTATTAAAATGATATGCTGTTGAGAAGCCACTCTTAAGAGTCCAGTTTGTTTAATGTTATGGGCAGCTACCAATTTGTGGTGTCTCTGTATATTTTTGTAAAGATTCTCATTTTTTAATGCTTGAGGTATTGGTGAAAAGATGTTGGTTGACCATAATTTGCAACATTGTCTTATTAAAAATAAACTTTCATATCCATATTTGGTAGAACTGTTAACCTAGAAATGTAGCTTGCTAATCAGGTAGAATGATACAAAAGTGAAGTTGTAGCCACCGTACAACACTGACCCGACTAGACACATTTAGGTTCAGGGTGGACCTTTTTGTCTTGTCAAGGTGTCGAGACCCACGATGATAATTTATGGCACAGTGTGGAATAGTTCTTTTGTTAACCCCACTGTCTCGGGGAATGACGCCAACTGGGTTAAGTAGCATTTTCAGGGAGATGGCGTTTTTGATTGAAACACAGAGCCTTCACTTTTCTGGTTTCTGTGAAGATTTGGAACCATACAAACATCGGAAAAACCCACCTTAAAATTTGGGCAGGTTGATGATGGCAGAAATAATTTTAAGGGGAAAAGAATGCTCTTATGCAGTTACTCTAAACTTTTAAGGAGCATTGTTGACCATAATATTGCTTAGTTTTCTCACTGCTGTTAAAAGCAAGTAAAGTGTTTTCAAAGTAGGTTTTGTTTGTGTGTGCGCATAGTGTAAAAGGACTGAATTTTGATACTTAAAGCACTTGGTGTGTGCATTTGTATCAAAATTTGCCCATATCTTTATGAAGGAGGCTTGTTCTTCACGCCTCAGTTTATTTAATGTGAGGCAAGTAAAAAGACAACACTCCCATTCTACGTGATTCTGTGGTGCCATGAGATTTTAAATAATTCTGGAAAAAACTAATTTTAAGGAAGTCACATCTCTTGAGGTTTTGACTGATTATCCATGTAGTACCTGATGAAAATAATACCCTAACTCTATAATTTCTAACATCTCTCTGCGAGATCATTTGGGGGCAATAAAAAGTGACTTGACATGCCCAATCTCATTTCAGAATAAAAGCTGGCATCCTTAAAATTTTTAGATTGCTTGCTTACAGGCATAATAAGTAAGAAATATTTTAGGGAAACCATTCCTTTTAGAGGATTACTTTTTTCAATTCTGGTTTTAGTAATCTAGGCCTTGCCTGTAAAGAACAAAAGGTGGTTTTTAAATACTGTTTGTGGAATGTGTTTAAAGGATTGATTCTAGAACCTTTGTATATTTGATAGTGTTTCTAACTTTCATTTCTTTACTGTTTGCAGTTAATGTTCATGTTCTGCTATGCAATCATTTATATGCACGTTTCTTTAATTTTTTTAGATTTTCCTGGATGTATAGTTTAAACAACAAAAAGTCTATTTAAAACTGTAGCAGTAGTTTGCAGTTCTAGCAAAGAGGAAAGTTGTGGGGTTAAACTTTGTATTTTCTTTCTTATAGAAGCTTCTAAAAAGGTATTTTTATATGTTCTTTTTAACAAATATTGTGTACAACCTTTAAAACATCAATGTTTGGATCAAAACAAGACCCAGCTTATTTTCTGCTTGCTGTAAATTAAGCAAACATGCTATAATAAAAACAAAATGAAGGAAATAATGATTAACTGGAATTATTATAGTTTTGAATGAGATTATACAATAACAACGGATTTAGGAATATTTTAAATCAGTGTTGCACTAGGCACAGGTTTTACTTTGGAAATGATAGAACCTGCCAGAAAGGTACATCTTTTACGTAGTACTTAAAAATTCCTTATGTAATGTCAGAGTTCTTTCATTATTGCTTATTAAACCCCTTGGGTTAAATAACTCAGAGGTTATTGGTAGTGTTAAGATACGCATTAAAGTGAAATTTGAGTTAGCTAATTTTAAGTTTATATTTTCATTATTAGATGGACCAATAATTCTACTCTTCCCCATCCTAAACAAGATGGATTGGGCCTTATGTTTATGGCGTGATTTAAAATATTTTTGCATTGAATATTCGTGAGCACTTAATATTAAGTGATAATCACTGTGGGGAACTGGTTTAGGTGTTTTGTGGCTTGAGGTCAAGCTGCTTTATAATGACAAGTATAGCTGATATTTATTGAGTATTTATGATGTGCCAGACACTGTTCTAAAAGCTTTATGTGTTAACTCATTTACTCATCACGAGACCCTATGAGAAAGATACTTTTATTTTCTCGTGTAACAGATGATAAGGAAATGGAGGCAAAAGAAAAAGCAATAAAAGGCAGATCCAGGATTTGAGCTCAGCTGGATCCTTAGATGTTTTTTTTTTTTAATGGACTGTAATTAGAGTAGCTTGGGGAAATAGCCCGTTTAATTTTTCTGTCTGTATAGAATTAGAAGTAATGGTTTCGTTTTTATTTTTTACTTGTGTCACTTATTTTTAGACTCATCCTATTTTCTTGAGAACCTTATATGTTATTTCTAAAGTGACATACCTAAATAACAGCTTCAAAGGGACTATTTTATAGTTGAACCCATGATAGATAGGATCCTACTGATACTTAAGGATCCTTATATACAGGGCTTTAATGTTGGGTTACATAGTTGAGTTCCATAATTATTGAGTATCTACTGTGTGTCTGGCACGGCTCAGTATTGGAGTAGAACATATCAAGACTCAAGTGAGAGCTGACACTTCACCTCTCTTTTTGCTTAAGATCTCTCTGCATTTTTTTTTTTTTTGAAGCCAAGTAAGCAAGAAGAATAATGACAGATAATGCTTCAGTGAGAAAGGAAAGGTGCTACATAGAGTATGAGCTGTTAAGTTACAACCCAGGGAAAAGACCTGGGAACTATTATACTATTCTCTTGAAAATTTGGCCCTGTAAGCTGCTACATCCAGTTCAACTAACAAAATCCTGTATACCACAGAGAAGAATAAAGAAAACCAAACTGACAAACATCCTTCTTTTATTTAAGACCAAACTGCAGCTGGAATACCCAGTACAGTTCTGCTTACTACACTTCAAGAAAGATCTGAGAAAGCGGAAAAAGAACCAAAGAAGGGCAGTTCAAGCGACCAAAGGGTGGGTGGAAGGTGCTGCAGTATGAATACTGTACGAATATTTTGACTCTGGTCTGAAAAGATAAAAGAATGTTATCGAAACTACATGGAATAATTGAAGTCCCTTCAAGTTTGAAAGTAAGCCTTTTAGGACAAATAAAAGGAAATTCAACTTTGTACTTGTGGAAACTAATCCCTAAATCTGAATAGGTTTATATTGATTCATGGGTAACAGGTCCATGTTAAATTGGAAACTAGGATGTTTGAATATCAAGGAAGACAGCCATAGTCTCTTACAGTGCCTCTATTGGTCTGTCTCAAACTGAATTGGGTGAGAAAAGGTATGGTCCAGTATAAACTTGCTTATCTCTTAAAGTCAGTTCTGTTTTTGCTGTTGGCAAATCTTGCCTTTGTTTATTCCAGTGCCAGTGTTTTCTGCTTAATGGTTTGCTTTGTTGGCATCTGAGTTTCCTTACTTGTATGCCTCATGCAGTTTACATCTTCCTTAAACACTCTCCCACATAAATTCCAATTATACTTGACATCCAGCTAAGAGGGTCCATCTCTTCTCACCTCTTTCCTAGTCAGTATATTCAGCAAACATTTACTGAGCCCTTACTGTGGGCAAAAATTGTACTGGGTAATTGGGGAGAAAAATAGATAAAATTCACTTATTCAATAAATGTCTACTGAGCACAATCTAGTGAATCATTACAGTGTGGCCTCACTGTTTTGTTTGAGGTGTATTATTCATAACTTTTACACCATTTATATCCTATGTAATTATAAAACCCAATATACTATCAAATATAAGTAATTTTGTGGTTATTTGCCATTTAAAAGTATCCAGTATTTGTTTTCATCCCATTAATACAAATAATGAAAAAATGATGTTTTAATCTGTAATAAACTGATTTATTGTGCAGTGACTGTAATATACTAGAGTTATATATAATTGTTAACTCTGCCTCCTCAAACACGTTAGGAAACAATCCCCCAAAATATTTAACTTTGCATCAGATGTAAAGGAGACTCTGGGTGCTATAATTAGAATTTTGAGGCAGATAGCTGTTATTCCCAACTGATTTAGTATGTTCTGTAATTGAGAAAATGTTCACCAAATATACTTTCTAGCGATTTACATGTACATTTTATAGGGGACATGTTCTGTGTATAGTGAATAAATAACTTTTATAGTATCACAAAATGTTTTGGATTCCTTAGTTCCTTATTAGGATATGAAGTTTATCTATACATTGATTTCATCACTTGCATATTTGGTTTTTGTCTTTATTTCTGCCACATTTAAAACTTTGTGTAAAGTTACTCATCTAAAAATATACAAGTGTTTAAGCCTTTAATTTATAAAGATTTTGAAAATATAGCAGAATATACCTAAGGGAGATATGAAACGGAGGTATTTTTACCCGTTTTAATTTTTCAAACTTGCCCGAGATCACACAGCAAGTAAGTGGCAGATACTAGATAAGTGTCCAAGGTTTTTCATTTGGTTCTTTTTTTTTTACAAATGGGGAAATTTTATAACATTACAATTAATATAATGGAATCTAGAGTTCACTTAGAGGGAAGATTTAGTAGATTTATGAAAATTATTTAATTACAAAAAGTATTTGTAACTTTCTTGGATGGGAAAGGGGTTAAATGTAATCTAAGATCTCAACAGCTGTTGACTCACTTTCCAGCCTGGCTTTCCAAATTTCAATCTCATATTGCATTTTGACCATATTCCTGTTTACAAAATCCTGAGATAATTTTGAAGTGGGGAGGCTGTGACAGGAATAAAATAAGTGTTCAACTAGGCGGTCTATCAGAGCTTTTAGGAGTCCCAGGAGTGAATTGTCCTCACTGATGAAAGAAGTCAGCAACTACTGACATCTATAAGACATAGCTAGCTGCTATGGAAAAGGATCTTTTTTGGGGGGTTCTCCCTTTGTCCCTTCTTCCAGCAGTGTCAGTTATGTTTATTGTGTTGCTTCTATGTATTCCTAACAGTTGTTTCACCCTTATGTTAAAGATGGGGGATTCCTTTTTTATTTGGAGTACAAAGCAAGGCATGTAAATTCATTTTGTTGATAATTGACAGAGTAGTTTGTAAAGAAGTAAAAGGCCTCTTTGTGTCGTCTGTTGTAGAGCAACATTTCTGAATGCTAGATAATGAAATAAACTGGTCTAGGATCCAAAAAATCTTGGATTTTTTTTTTTTTTTAGGTTTAGTTCTGCCTGACAGATTTGTGGCTCGGTAGGCTTTCCTCATTTGTGTAAGAGGTTTGAGATGTACTCTATCCCACTTGGCTTACGAAGTAATTGCCTATGAGACAATTAAACACTAGAAAACTAGTGTTTTCCTTCAGTTATTTTCCACCTTGTGCTTCTGGGATGAAGAGAATTTACCAGAACTGAAGTGTAAAGATAGGTTATGAGCTCAAGATTCCATCGTACTATATACGCTGCCATCAAAAAGATATGACAGGACTTCCCTGGTGGCGCGGTGGTTGGGAGTCCGCCTGCCGATGCAGGGGAAACGGGTTCGTGCCCCGGTCCCGGGGGATCCCACATGCCGCGGAGCGGCTGGGCCCGTGAGCCGTGGCCGCTGGGCCTGCGTGTCCGGAGCCTGTGCTCCGCAGCAGCAGAGGCCACAGCAGTGAGAGGCCCACGTACCGCAAAAACAAAAACAAAAAACAAACAAACAAAAAAAGATATAAGTTTAAATTGTAACACTGACAAGGCTCATGCTATGGCTGACTGCAGAGGCCACAGCAGTGAGAGGCCCACGTACCGCAAAAACAAAAACAAAAAACAAACAAAAAAAGATATAAGTTTAAATTGTAACACTGACAAGGCTCATGCTATGGCTGACTGCAGCCCTACAGGGTAGATGAGCTCTAACAACTTTTTGGTTCTTAGTACAATTTGAGAAATACATGTCAACCATACTTCCTGTACGCTAACCATAACTTTATTAGTACCTTTCTAAGGTATGAGATATAATATGGTTATTAACTTTTTAAGCTAACTGTAGCTATTAAAAATTTTTGTAGTTAAAGCCAATGTGCTCTTGAACACTTACCACTGGAGTCAGGCCCAAACCAGAAATCTAGTATATACTGTATTTACATGTATACATCAAAACCTAACATAAAGATGCTTGGGATGAAAATTGTTGAATCTAGTGGGATTCCAAGCAGTACTGCAAAGAACTGGGCAATTCTTGCCACTGTTAATAGAAATTACACTGGGAATAAGCAGGAAAAAAAGACTCATTATTACTTCCTGCCAAATCAATTTCTTTGCATGAGAAAATACAGCCTGGCCCTGGGATTCACTGCTTGCTTAGTGTAGAAATTAAAAGATTTTTCTTGAACTAGTTGAGTTATCCTATCATTTGGAACGTATTTTAGAAAGCCATTTAGTTCTTGTGTCTTTTTTCTCCTCCAAGGTCCCCTTGTGAAAATTGTTTATAGAAAAAAAAATTTGCAGAATTTCTCAAATTGACAAGAACTTGTGTTTACCGAAGTCATCTTAAAATGTAGAAGAGGGAGAAGGCGATTAAACCTGCTTTACTCAATTTGGTATGAGATGAATTCAGAAGCTGTATGTAAGTTTCCAAAGTAATATTCTGTGGCCTTTTACTGTTAGCCCTGCTGGGAAGAGGAAGCCACAGTTGCTTTTTTAACCTATTATAGCTGCTAATCCAAATGTCTATTATCAGTTAGCAACTTGGTTGCCTCTTAAAACCAACGGTCCTATTGTTATTTCAGTAGGATTATGTGCGTTCTGACTATTACATGGTCATAACAATTTTTTATACAATAAAAACAAGACACGGGAAAAAGCAACTTTATTTTTTAATTTCATGCTTCAAATTCCTGTATGTACATTAAGTACTATTATATAAACTTGTCTTTTATCATTATTTGATATGGGCAATATTATCTCACCTGAATTTGGAGAAATACAACTTACCCATTCTGCTTAAAAGTATCAAAAAAGCTGCCAAATGAGAAAAGAGGGCACCTACACTCATATTCTAAATAGACCCCCCCACACACACTTTCCTTTTAATTTACTATTGAGTTGGCTGTTATAATTAGCGCTTATCTTTAAGGTAAGCAAAACATGTTACCATGGTATTAGGCAAGAAATTGCATCTTTTGCAATGAGTGGTCCCCTGGGTTGCACCTGTTGACCAAAAAAAAAACCACTGGCATTGTACACTATACTCATAGGTTACACAAATTGTTGAAAGCCAAAATGAATCTTTTAAGGTAAGAGGGACCCCTTAATAGTTAATCTTTGGGCTTAAGAAATTAAAATCATCCCATACTGCATTTCACATCTCTCAAAAATAGAAGTGTTTTAGCAGCTTAAAACCTTTTCAGTTATATAAAACTTCTTACACTAGGATTTACTTTGAAATATAGTTTACAGCAAGATCAATTATAGTATACATACAGTGGCACTTTAGCACAAGGGCAAACTTTAAAAACAAGGTTTTTTTGGACCTTTAAAATTAGGCCATAGTATAAAAAGAGTCCATGTCTTACATTCAGCAAATTCATACTAAAATATTCTATTTTTGTAGGATAGACGCCAACAAAACTTTACATATGCTACAAGTTTATTACATATATTTACATGGCTCTTTCCTAGGTACGTAAAACTTTCACATTATATAGCTCCCAACTTTAAACAAGCTTTGCAGGGATGATTTGAAGCCAGATCACTGTCAGAATAGCTTGTGCAGTGCCATAATACTAAAATGTATTCTGAAAGCTACTCGGTGAACACCGAATACTATTTCTATATAAAGTGGTCTCGGTGCATTTGTTGGCAGACACCTATCCACTGCATGTCAGTTACAGGGACAATGGGGTATACTGTTTCATTCTAAATAGTCCCTAGTGCCCTTTCCGCATTCACCACCATACAGTTCACTAAAATACAACTATACTGTAAAAAAAATTTCATTTTCTTTTGGCAGTGCATCAGATTGTTGGCATATTACTGGTTTAGGTGTTTCTAGGACATTAAACTTTCAAATATTCAGCTAGTTTTCAACCCCTGTATGTCTTAACTGGATGCTTATAATCACATTTGCCAGATCTCAACAAGTCAATCTGCTGATCCATGAGTGATAATCTTAAATTACTATTTTCCCCCAACAGGCAACAGAAAAAGTTGATTCCTTTACCATTCCCCAAATCTAAACTTGACTGGTTTCCCTTGAATGGTTACTCAATTGAGAACGCTCAGCACTGATATGAAGTACAATATTCTCAATCATTTAGTTATTTTAAGTTGCACTGATTCTACCATCACAGTGCACATAACACACAAAGCAGTTAAGTCTGATTATATTTTCTACATTAATTAGCAGTTTTACAGATTCAATTCCCTAGTGAATTTGGTCTGAGACAATTGCCAATTATCCTTAAATATGACTAAATTTAAACACATTAATACTTTATCTCATTTTACACCTGTACTTTAAGTAAGGTTTTAAGTTGAAATGTCATTATTTCTTTATCAGAAGGGTTAAAAGAAACAGGAACCCAGTGGCTTGGTGGTTTAGGAAGAACACTTGGTGATGGTGGCTCACTAAATTTGGCTCCAGCATAGTTCTGATTAGTTTGAGACTTAAAAAGTAAGGTGGGACTTGATAAGCTAGAGTTCCAGTTTTGATTATTTGGAAAATTTTTGTTCTTCCCCCCACTTTGCATGGCCTGCCATGCAGCTGCTGATGAATTATAAGTATGTCCTCTTTCCTTTTTCTTATGAACAATCTTCATCTGGGAATTCTGATCCTTGGTCTTCTGTCTACTAAGCTGTTGTTGGTTCTTACTAACATTTCTAGACTGAGGGGCTGGAATGTTATACCTCTCTCCACCACCCATCTTCAGCTTCTTTGTCACCTGTAAGTGAATGTAAACAAAATATTGAGTAGAATTCCACTTCAAATAGTTCAAAACTTTAAGAAACTTCAGTAGCTCCAATTTGTAACTCCAGAAATCTTGGGTAATACTCAAATATGTGCTATTCAGCTGCTTCAATTTCACTATACTGTCCACACTTCATCACATGCACTTTATTATACCTTCCTAAGAACAGTGAGCTTATCCACAATTCTGAATAATCCTCTATTTAAAAATAAAAACAGTTTAGGATGAGTCCATCATAAAATGCCCCATTACAACGGGAAGTTTTTGATACCTTTCAGTCTGCTTTTCAGATTGCAGGATTTCCACCACCTGTCCTCTTCCTTGCTGCCACGCCCAGGATAATAGATGTTGCTTTCTGATAGATCCTTTCCTTTGTCTCAATACAGAAGTTTTCATGGGCCGATCTGCTGAGTTCAGCCTAGGAGCTGAGGCCAACATCTGAGTCTCCTCAGCACACAAGTTTGAGAGAAGTCTTAGCTAGAAAAGCAAATATTTCATTATTTCAATTCAAAAACACAGGAGAAAGTGACCGTTTATATTTACTACATAAGTAGTGACTACTTCCTGAACTAAAAGGCAGAAAATAAAGTCTCTAAAGATGGCTTTGACCTTGTAACTGTCATCATTTAAAAACCCTCGAGATCCAGGAAACCCTGAGGAATCTGGGGAGGGGTGTCCGCCAAATCCCGCAACAAGTTGCATCTTTTCCCTAGGAACCTTTCAGATTCTCACACGGATTTTGTGACCAAAATGTTAAACCACGGAAGCATTAACTTTTACAGCCATGCCAAGAAATGGGCTTAAAATCTTTCCTAAAGACCATGTTTTGAAAGTCCCACCAGAATTTCCCAGTCTTTGGACACATCCCGTATCTGTTTCCACAAAGCCTCCTCTCCCAACGTGTCTACGTCGTGCAGCTCTTCCTTTGGTTATGAACTCTTGACTCCTCCCCGTCTTAAAATAAGTTTCACAAGCCGTAACAAGCGAAGTCAGTTCTTAAATACAAAAAAATGCCTCCCTATCGTGAACATTAAACATTCGAGATTTCATTTGATATTCCAAGAAACCAAGTTACCGAATAAGCCCTCTTCTTTTCGAAAAGGTGAGCGGCCCTTCCAGACTATGTTAACAGCCCTAAAGAAATTAGTTCCCGGATCGTGAGTCACTCCCAACGCGAGCCCGGAAAGTTCGGTTCTGTCGACGGCGCTGGGCTTCCGAGCGGCTCAGCGTTCCTCGAGCCCGGCCCGGGAACCCGCTCCTCCGGGCCGCTAGCGCCCGCCCGGCCTCGGATCTCGCCTCCTTCCCCCAACAATGGGGAGCGCGGCCGCCAACATGGCCGCACCCGCCGCGCCGCCGCCACTCACCGACTTCGAACCCGGGACTACGGCGGCGGCGGTTCCTGCTCGGCGTCGAAGCCCCCTCCCCTTCCAGGGAGCGACGAGGCACGGAACGAGCGAAGCCCACGAGCACCGACGAGACAGCAGCAGGCCACCTCAGCGTCCCGACCAACCTTCCCCTTCTGCCTCTACCGACAAAATGGAGGCGGCGGTGAGCGCTAGAGCGGGGCCGGGGGGCGCGGCGGCCAATCAAAACACGCCTTTACGCGGCCCGGCCAATGATACGTGGGCCGCCGCCTGTTGCTGAGGCCCGACGGGGCCGGGGGAGGGGAGGTGGTTGCGGCCGAGGGTTTGAAATCCTCCCCGAGAAGAGCATGTCGGGAACAACCGCCGCGGCACCGGCTGCCGTTCCTCCGCCGGCTACCGGGTGACACCGGCCTCTCCCGGAGGTGCCCGCCCGGCCTCGCCCGGCACTACAGAACACGGCCAACGCCACCCCCTCGTGGCGACTCCGGGGCCCGAGCCCGGCGCGCCGGGGAAGGGGCGTCAGCCGCACGCCCGGGCAGCGGCTTTCATGCGGGCTGCCCGGCTTGCGGGGCCCGCGGCCCTTGGAACCCGATGGGTTCCCGCCGTGGGGAGTCAGCGAAGGGGCTTTGAGTTCCCGAGTTAAGTTCACCGAGTCGTGTACCCGATCTCTTACTGGTGGAAGGTACTCCAGCAAGTTGATTTCTGAAGCTGGCCCCTGGCCACTTAGTCCTGACACTCCTGTCACTCCGTTCCCCGGCCACGGGGACGTCTTTGCAGCTCTCCAGCTTGCGGTTCCCCTGCGGTTCCCTCTTGTCCTGTCACACGGTGTGGCGGCTACGTGTCTGCCCATCCCCCCTCACACACCTCTTTCTCCGAGCGCAGAGCACACTAAGCGCACAAGAAAAATCTGTTGCGAGAACGGGGCTCCCTTATTCCCCTTTCTGCCCAGTTTGTAAGTGAAAGCGGGGAGAAAAGGTAGAGTTCAGTTGATTATGCGACCAAGGTGCAGGGAAGAGGAAAAGGGCAACTTCTTTGGAGTAAATGGATAGCAACCCAGAGTTTGTGTTTTAAAGAACACCAATTTCTATGAACATGTACGCATTTTTGTTACAGGATTTATATGTACTTTTTATTTGTTACAGGATTTATATGTATTTTTTGTAAGTCCCACATAATTCGTTTTTTTTTTTTTTTTTTTTTTTTTTTTGCGGCCCCTCCCATTTACGGAGCACAGGCTCCGGACGCGCAGGCCCAGCGGCCATGGCTCACGGGCCCAGCCGCTCCGCGGCACGTGGGATCCTCCCGAAACGGGGCACGAACCCGCGTCTCCTGCATCGGCAGGCGGACTCTCAAGCACTGCGCCACCAGGGAAGCCCACATAATTCGTTTTTTAATCTTCAGTTTTTCTGCAACCATCATCCCCCACCCCTATGTTCTTGTAGCCATGGACCTTAATTAAGTTTCTTAAGAAAACCAATTTAAAAGAGGAGTTTGTTAATCAAGTTAGTTTGGTGAAATGTGTAGAATAGAAAAGATATTTTTGAGCATGGGACTTTCAGCTGCTAATCATCATAGTCAAGTAAGATGTACATAGTAAGCGACCTTACTGAAAGTGTAATCTATTTCCTAAAAATTCAAGTGGCTAGACATCCAGCCAGATTACAGCCGGGCTGTATTTAATGGATTCAAGACTTTGACTTAAGAAAAGACCCTTACAATATATTTTTTAATATAGTGATTTGTAAAATGAACAGTCTGGTTTCAGTCCGAGCACTTCTATTTTCTAATTCATTTTTATTATCATCATCCAAATATCTTCAGATTTATCCCTCCTATACTCCTATCTCACCCTCCTTTCTACCCTCATGGATCTGATTGTGTTACTTTAAAACAACAACAACGACAAACACTGCATTGGCCCCAAATTGTATTACAAAATTAAATCACTCTCCGGATCTTACCTGTATAAACATACGGGTAATGTATTGGATGCTTGTAAACACACACACGATGTACTGTATTGGATACTTACTCTGCCTCCCTCTGCCCTGTGCTAAATTGTTTTGCTTACATCATTTCATTTAATTTTCACAAATTGTGGAGTAGGTGCTATTTTGATCTCCACTGTACAGATCCAAACTCTGAGGCTCAGTTTAAAGCTGAAAGCCACACACTAAGGCTCCAGAGCCCACCCTGTGTTCCCTGCAGCATCCGTGTCACCTCTAGGTCCTCCCCAGGGCCCAAAATGTGCTTTGCCCAGAGCAGACACTGACTGGCTGCTGACTGGGGTGCTGGGGAAGCTTGGGCAGGGTGAAGCCTCCATCTTGCTGTCTGGCTGAGCCAGCTTCTCTGCCAGAAGGTCAGTCAGGCTGCCCGCCAAAGACTGCCGTTAAAGCCTTTACCATGTCCCAGACTCCCAGGAGCCTCCCAATATAGCTCCAGCCTCATCCTTCATTAATATTTACCAAGTGCCCACAACAGCTCAGAACTGGAGAGCAGAAGTTAAAAATCACATCCTTTTCAGGACATCTGATACAGCCTCTGCCTGTCCCAGGCTGGGCTTTAAATTCGGTTCCACCAACATGATCCATTTAGTGATTCTCAGATCAAATAGGAAAATGTTGATAGAAACAAACAACTCTCAGGATGTCGATCAGCCACCAATACTGGGCACCAAATGCATAATAAATACGTGGGTGTTTAATACCAAGCATTTATTTAACAAAGATTTACCTGGTGCCTTCTTTGAGGCAGGCACTCCGCCAAGCCCTGGGAATACAACAGTGAATAAGGCTCCATCGCAGCCCTAAAAAACTCAGAAAGCTTTTCCCTTTACCACTTTTCCGAGAGGGAAGCTGGTGTCTGAGGAGATTCATTTCCTCAGTTCTTCCCCAGTCAAGGACAGGCAGTGCCAATTGTATGCAAACACAAAAATCAACCTGCTAACACTGCGAAGGACTGCAGGTTCCAGACCTTGGGCTCAGACCCTGTAGAATGGAAGGTAAAAGGAGAGGATTTCCACACTCGCTGAAATCCTTTCCCCCGAGAATCTGTTTTGAATTACGTATCTGTGGGAGCTAAAAATCAACATTACCTACCTAATCTGTAAGTAGAAGTGAGGCAAAAGACATTTCTGAAAGTCCAGCTTTGGAGAACTGGCAAGTTGCAGGCTGATGCTTATTCAATTTAGACCCCACGAGGGGGAGAGCAAGTGAGACAAACATCCCAGTTTGCCAAATATTTGGAACAAGTCTCTAGTTGAACTGACTGGCTTTCGGGCTGGATCACTTACCCCGCCAGGGTGTCTATCTCAAAACAAGCCGGTTTGGTTCTGTTTCTTCCTCAAGCTCATCTATGAATTCAGAGGACAGCTTTGAATGCTTGCAGGTCTGTCAGCTGATGGCTTATTTCATTTAGGGCAAGCAAGTTCTTGGCATCTGCCAAGAGTAAAGTGGACGGACAACCTGCCTGATGTTTTGATGTGCGTTAGGACTCTTATCTTGTTGCCAAACTGGTATCAAAACACACACACAGTGGTTTTGTTTCCTGGGGAAGCAGCTGCTGCATGCTTCCCAGTTGCTCACACATTCCAGAGCGGTTGCAAATAAGTCCTCAGCCATTACAGCCATTTTGGTCTAATTACTAAATGGGGCACAGGAAGTCAATGTGAAACTCCCACACTTCCTCTGACTCTGACCCAGCGATTCTCAATCTTCAATATCTTTAAAGGGTTCTGCTGCCTGGACCCCCAGCCCAGGATCGGAATCTTTGAGGATGGGTGCTTAGGTGTTCCAGTTGCAGCTGGAGGCTGGCAGAATATGCCACTCCTAAATATGCCACTTTGGCATAATGATTATTTTCAGCTAAAGGCACTTGAAAAACAGCAGGTGCAGGAAGGGTGCTCTGACCCTCCTCCCCTTTTCTTCCTGAAAGCAGGAGAAAATGCCCTTGTGAAAGGTGCCCTTCCTGGGCTTCCCTGGTGGTGCAGTGGTTAAGAATCCACCTGCCAATGCAGGGGACACAGGTTCAGTCCCTGGTCTGGGAAGATCCCACATGCCGTGGAGCAACTAAGCCCGTGGGCCACAACTACTGAGCCTGAGCTCTAGAGCCTGCGAGCCACAACTACTGGAGCCCACGCGCCTAGAGCCCGTGCTCCACAACAAGAGAAGCCACCACAGTGAGAAGCCCGCGCACTGCAACGAAGAGTAGCCCCCGCTCACCGCAACTAGAGAAAGCCCACGCGCAGCAACAAAGACCGAACACAGCCAGAAAAAAAAAAAGATACCCTTCCTATACCAAGAGGAAAGAAATGTTCTTATCACCAGAGACGGGTGGCGGGGGCTGGGGAGGGTGTCAAGGCCAAGAGAATTCTATGCAAACAGACCTTGTCAGAGTAAGTCTGGAACGGAGCAGACCCCTGTGGGCCATGCCCCACCCCTCCCCAAGTATTGATACAAAGGCCCATTCATATTTCCTGCCTCTTGTTTATAGAAGAGCTGAAGTCTCCCAGGCCTCCCTGAGTCACAAAAGAGCAGAGGCTCAAGCAGCTAATGATTAGGACAATAGAGTCACAGACTCGGTGTCTGATGCACCTTCCTGAGTTGTTTTACAGATACTGCCACCAGAGGGAAAAAGCTAACTGCATGATGACCAGACAGCAGCTGTGACATAAACTGCTCCATCTTGAGCCGTACTGAAACTATGGCTAGCACAGCTCCAAGAACTGGCCTTAAGAGAATGGGATTAACACTACTGCTCATAATAATCTATATCTTTGTGGGCATCAAAATAATCGTAGCTTGTCCTGCCCATATATGTAAAGGGGCGAGACAACTGTCAGCAGGGAGATGCTACATACCCGTGTCGACATCTTCCGCTCTAAGGATACAGTGTCCTGTGTCAGCATGAAGAAGTTACAGAAGACGGACTTTCACCCCGGATCCCATAGAGATGGAATGATGTTCTGACAAGCGGGGATTTGTGAGCAGCTTTTGGCAGAAAAAAAGCTCTTTGCAGGAAAGAGCTCTCTGCAGGAGGCACCCCTTTATCTTGACACTAATCTGAAACCAGGCATCCCTGTGCTCTACTCATCTCCGGCCCTGGTACCCCTTTTAAATCTTTTGATCACACAATAATTGGCCTAGCTTGTTGGTTCTTTCCATAGATGAG